CGCCCTCTGCGCTCCTGTTCGCTCCGGGGGACTTTCACTATCTATTTGACTCCCGTACGTACGGTCGCCTCTGGTCTCCTTTACAATACCTTATATCCCCTAAATATTCCCCACCCAATGTACTTTGGTTTCTCGGAAAATCTGAAAAATTGACCACGATCGCTCGGCCGGTCGGAGCTGCCGGGACGACTGAGAGACGGATAAGGAGTCGTCCCTTTTACGTGATTAAGGTAGCTGATCTGTAAATTTATTTTCTTAGGAATTTCTCGTCGGATTTTAATAGGATATCGATCGAAACACGATCCGCATCCATGCGAAACTCGAAAAAAATTGACCACACCGAAGTTGAGATGATTGTAATCAAAGTTTCAGCACTATTGATATGCGTTTCACAAATACGAAAACGACTTTTGATATCACGGCTTTTAATTCGAACGGCCAAACTACTCTTAATGAGTGGTATCGAGTACTCTTAATAGTTTTAATGAGAAACGAGAAGACGGTAAGAGACTTGTAGGAATGTTATAAAAGTCATAAAGTTGTTCACCAATCTGATCTTCCAGAAATTGATTTGCAAAATAATTTCTGATAATCGTTGAAGTATATGACAGCTGACCTGTATGGATTTAGCATGTAATATTGTGTGCGCTATATTTTCTTCTTTCATGCTTCTTGATGGAGCATTTTTTTAAAGATATAATAGTTACATAACCTTAAAGATCTATAATCAATAAGTAAAAATACAGAAAAATATAGAAAGATATGGAAAAATCCGATACCATCATTTTTCTAGTAGCATATTTTCATATACAGCAGACTCCATTAATGCTGTCCCATTCCCTAGATTTAGTAACATTGAATATTTCCAGTTAGTCGCGTTATTTTGTAAAATTTGTGCGTCATGACTATTGCTTTGGAGAATCGTTGCAGATTTATCAAATTCAATTAACAATCACGATGCGTAAATAATATTTCTAATCGGAAGTTTTCGATGTCATTATGCCTAGGGAATGGGACGGCATTAATGAAGTCTGCTGTACAGTGGTGAGCAGAAAAGTTGTCGCACATTTTTTCGATGCAGCTTGAAACGATAATCTAATGAGAGAACTCGTTTTTGAAAACTCGTTTTCACGTTAGACCGTCGTTTGCGTTGTGAACTGCATCGAAAAAGAAAGACGTGGCAACTGTCCACGACCGTACGTCTATCAAGGTACGTATGATATATTCAGAAACATATATCTGACACGGATAGTCCTAGCTAAAAATATTATATGTCAAGGTGCGAAAAATGATTATCTCTTTATGAATTTCTAAATATTATGTGAGTTTAGTTGATATTTTCTTGCTATTATATATATCGCAAATTATGCGAAAAATCTGATCGGTTTTGAAATTGGTGCGCCGAGTTCCTAAGGTGGGGTATATTATGTAAAACTCGCGATCGGGGCCACGAGAGAGAAATTACGCACGAACGGCTTTACAAAATAATTCGACGAGTGCATTCGTTCTTATCATTCGTCGCCGTATCGCCTCTCAATCGCGGAACGATCTATAAAAAGTGATCCAATTTTATTCGCGTTGGGCGAGTCGCAACTTTCCGTGCAATGGAACTATTTTAAATCCAGTATCGAATAGTGACTTAACGGGTTCTGCAACTCTCGTGTCACGCACGTTCCCGTAACCGCTCCGAATGTTTCCGTTTACATATTTTAAAATTAATTTCCGTGACTTACGAACAAGAACGCATTTCTTTTGCCGCAGAGTTGGATGTCCCGCGCGCAGCTGTCGTGACGTATAGAAGAAAAGGGCATAAGATGACGAAGTAAGACGATGAATAATTTTGCTTATTTTTTTAAGCTAGCATTTTCATCGTGGGATGAAATAACATATTATGTGTGAATATCATTTGCGGGCAACATGACGCATTTTAGTGCATTTTATTTAAAAAATAATATAAATAAAATTAATTGATTTTATTTTTTTTCTTGTCTAGATTTTTTATTTTTTAAATTATATTGCCATAAATTATATTTTTTGTTCATAAATAATATATTTATTTGTGTTTTATTTTATATATATATTTTTTGTGTTGTACAGACAATATAATAACGAAAGAATATAAAAAGTTTGTGAACATTATTTTTTGTAGGCATAAAAAATTTACTTTTAACCTTTGCCATCTTATGTACGAAGATCAAATGACGAAATTGACACGTCCTTAAAAGAATGTAGATTAAACAGGATTTCAATTTATTTATAAATTTTTCAGCTTATGGCAAGGTTTTAATTATTGGGAAAAAAAGTTATCATTATTTTTATGTTACTACAAAAATGACGAAAAATCGACAAACCGTAAAGTCGTCATCTTATCACCCTCCCTACTTGACCGTCAGCCGTTAAACCGAACGAACGAAAGTTTTCCAAATTGCAGTATTAAGTCACTTTTCACCGAAATCATACTTCCTGTGAACGCGCGAATTATACGAGAACATTCGCCGAAGAATCAAGTATAATTGACCGCAATTTGAAGCATCGAGTTTACGTAATATCTATCTCGACAATACGACATGCCCCGCGGCACGCGCTGCTCTCACTCTCGTTGAGTGGTATCTCGAAAAAGAGAAAGCGCCATTAGATATCGTATCGCTTTGATTTGATTATACACATTATTACCGCCGAGAATTAAATATCACAGAGCAGCGCAAACAATTATAAGGAGGATGTCTTTTGCGATTGATGTATACGTTTTGAAACATCTAGTCTAAATTAGAGAAGGAATACATCAGCAACATCCCGAGTAGAAATGTAATTAGCTGGCGTGAGTCAAATGTTAGAGAGCTAGCTAGTTAAATTTAAACAGGCTAGATTAAATTTTCTACCTCACCGTTACTAGCTCGTTACCGGCTGATCATTCGCTGTAATATAAAATCGGTTTTGTGATCTAACCGTTGTCCAGTCATTATGTATCAAATATGATAGACTATTCTAAAGTATATGACTTAATTACTGTATGCCGCCAACTAGTATTTTCAAGTTAACTGGTAAATTAAAATTGCACTTACGTTATTTAATAGAAGCTCGAGATAGCGAATGTGAGCGTTATATTACTGACTGACAATTAGTTATGATTTTTCATCCCCTAAGTATAATTGCTTTTATTTAACCATCAGTTAATTTATTTATCTAGTTACATTATTAGTTAGTATCGACGTCAGATACAAATTTCTTACCTCACAGCTTGACACCCACTGGGCTAAATTTCTACTAGGGATTAAATACGTAGAAAACAAGATACAGGATGAAATAATGCAGTGTACGAGTAAATAACATATTTATATCATTTCAGAACGATAATTAATACAAACGAGGCAATTACAAACGGAAAAGAGAAACAAAACGCCGAGATAAATGCTAAGGATTGTTTCGGTGCTTATTCGTTTTCCATCGCGTTCCAGCGCAGTTCGGTAAACGATGGGGGCGGCATTGAGTCTCAAAATAAAACGGCGTGACTCCTATTCGTTTCCTTGAAACGAACGCAAGGTCGAGCGGCGATTCGGTAAAATGGAGTACGGCCTTTGCAAGCCGTCCGGTCACTCGGCGTTTTCACCTGAGTTTACGAAACGCGCCGCCGATCGCGTGGGTTCCGCCTATGAAATTATCGATGGATCGATATTTTGCAACTTTCTATCGGCATATTAGACGGCCGGTTACCGACTGGCCGATACTCCCGCCTCTTATTTCATTGCCCATTTTTTCTGCGTCGCTCTGCGTACCAATTAATATTGATAATGTGTCGACATGCTGTCGTTGCACCGCGTACCGACGTTTTCGACATAGTTCTAATAGTGCGTTTAATATTTCACGAAGTTACACTATTTAGCGTTTGAAATCTGAGAGACAGATATCGAGAAAATGCAATGAACGTGCGGAAAATTTACATAATATTGTATTTGGCAGCTCAAATCTGAAATTCGTTATGCTGCAATTGAATTTAATTTGATTGATGAAAGAATTTATATAACATTATTCAACAAATTTTATATATTGTATCCATAATTATACCCATTTTGAATTTTCATCTTTTCTATTGATGTTAATGTGCGTTGAAATAAAAAATTACAAAAAAATTATTTAGTTTAAGAAATGTAGTCTACAATTTAAATTGTAAATTAATGGTATGAGACATAAAAATAAGACAACAGAACATATTTTTATTATAATTTCTTAGTCTTATGTTTCATACTGTCAGGAAAATTAAAATTCTTTTTAAATGCTACATTTTTAGACACTTTTAGCGGTCTCATTATAAAGAAATAAAGAATGAAAGAATAGAAATAATACAAACATACTATCTCAAAGTAAAAAAGACGATTGAAGACATTCTTTTTTCCATACCACGAGAAATATTAAATTCTCTTTTTATTGTTGTTTACTACATGTGTCGGAAACCAGAACTGAATTTTGATTTTAACTGTTTTATTTATGATTAACGCCTCAAAATTAACTAGAATTGTTGGCTTAGATTAAGGAAATATAAATTTCGTGTGCAAATATAATTTACATTTATATGTGTGTATTATAATTTATAATTTGCCAGAGAGATATGTTACTTGTATATTTTCTCCTAAACAAACACATTTTGAAACAAAGAAAAAGGAAGGAGAAAAATACTTTTGTTTTTCATTCACGCTTGTGATGCAACCGTGTCCTCAAGGTCCGCTCGAAGCGATTACGTTGGTGTGGTTTAACGATGACTTCCACGGGGCGTGGACCTCATGATTAAGACCCGCGATAATTGCTCGCGAACGACCCAGATTGTGTCTGCATTC